AAACCATCAAGAATACTTCTAGTTCTTTTAAGAAAAGAATCATCTCTGATAGAAATACAGATGAATTTTGCAAATATCTACAGAGCACTAATAATAATTTTGTATTTAACCCCGCTTTAAACCCCAATGAAAATTACAATAGTTTTTTGAGAAATTTTTTATTATCTTTCAATCATATATTTCCTGTTAAATCACTAAAAAAGAATGCTAAAACTAATAAATCTACTCTGAATTGGGTGACCCAAGGTATAAGAATTTCCAGTAAGAGGAAACGAGAATTGCACTTGGAAGCCAAGTTTAGTAGAAACCAAGAGTTTTTATCCTATGTAAAGCAATACAAAAAAATATTTAATAAAGTTGTAAAAAATTCAAAAATTCTCTCAAATAATAACCTAATTAGAAAATCTGAAAACAAGTCTAAGGCAGCTTGGCAAATTGTTAACAATGAACTGGGTTTAAACCGTACTCAGAGATACAAAATTATTTTAAAAGATGATACAAACCAAACCACTGTTGATAATCCTGATGATGTAGCTAAGCTTTTTAACAGTTTTTTCTGTAATACAGTTATTAATCTGAATGTAAAAAAGGCTTCTGTCAATGGTGTTCATTCGTCTGTAAAATCATACTGCAGTGATGGTGGGGTTACATTGTGCAATCTTAGCCCCACTAATAAAGATGAAATAAAAAAGATCATCCTTTCTCTAAAGAACAAAATTTCAGTAGGCTGGGACGAAATCCCAATTAAATTGATCAAATCTGCTGCTGACATTATCTCCGAACCCTTATCTCTTATTATAAATCAGTGTTTAGAGAATGGTATTTTTCCGGATCAACTCAAGTACTCCCAAATTTCTCCCGTTTTTAAGAAAGGTTCAAAATCAGATATTAATAACTACCGTCCAGTATCAATATTAAGTAATTTTTCTAAAATATTTGAAAAAGTAATAAGCTATAGACTAGTTAATTATTTTGAAAGTAATAATTTATTTTACAATAAACAATTTGGTTTCCGAAGAAACTTAAGCACAGTTTCTGCTCTTACTCAGTTTGTTAATGAGATTGCAGAGGCCTTGGACAGGTCTCAGGCCACAGCAGGTGTTTTCTGTGACCTGTCTAAGGCTTTTGATTGTGTGGATCACTCACTCCTGTTGCTAAAACTTATTGATTATGGGATTGGGGGAAGTTGCTTTTCTTTAATACAATCTTACCTTTCTGAAAGAAAACAAAGAACTTTAATTTTAGAAGATAACAACAAACATTATTCACCATGGGAAATTATATCCACAGGTGTTCCCCAAGGCTCAGTATTGGGCCCACTTTTTTTTCTTATTTACATTAATGATCTTCCAAAAGCTATTAATAAAGAACTAATTCTTTTTGCCGATGACACTACTGCTTTGATCAAAAATAATAATACAGCTGAAATGTTTTCTTCTCTGCAAAGTGTGGTAAAGGACATGGAGCAATGGTTTTTAGAAAATGGGTTAAAACTTAATGTTGGAAAAACTAATATTATTAAATTTTCTACTAGACACAAAAATATGGAAAACTGTTCCTTTAATTTAGTTGAAGCTCATAAATTCTTAGGGGTTTACGTAGATGACGCAGTTAAATGGGATTCACATTTGAATTATTTACGTAACAAAATTAGGTCGATATCATCTTTATTCATACATTTAAGGGACTGTGTTTCTATTGAGACACTTAAAGTAGTTTATCATGCTTATGTGGAGTCAGTGTTAAGATATGGCATAATTTTATGGGGTCAAGCTACTGGTATTAAAACTTTATTCAGGTTACAAAAACGTATTATTCGTATTATTACCAACTCTCATCCACGCAGTTCTTGTAAGAAACATTTTCAAAATTTAAGAATTCATACATTAACGGGGTTGTATATTCTAGAATTATTAAACTACATACATTCAGTTAAAAATGAGCTACCAGAAACAATACATTTTAATCACAGGTATGAAACCCGAAATGAAAATATATTTAGACTCCCCAGACACCGTTTGACCCTATATGAAAAATCTCCATTGTACGCTGGGCTGAGATTGTACAATGTGCTTCCGCCATGCTATAAGTCATTAAGCAAAACCAAATTTAAAGATACAATAGATAATTTTCTTATTGACAAGGCTTTTTACTTAATTGAAGATTTTTACAGAACTACAATTTAGAAATTTTTTTTTTTTTTAAGTGTTTAATTTTAAGTTAAAAGTTTTAATGTTAAATATTTTATGTATGGATTTAATTTTGACAATGCACCTATTCTAAATGTTATGACATGTATGGAATGTTTTGTGCAAATAAAGTCTATGTCTATGTCTATGTCTATGTCTATGAACTTAGAATTAGGTATTTCTTATCATAGAGCATTATTCATCAGTATCCATCATTCGAGAAAAAGAATTAAAAGTAGTCTTCTAGCCTATATTTTGATTTTTCCTGTTAGGAACAGCAAACACTTGGCATTGAGAAGGGTGGTTTGCCAATAGAATAGAAATAAGTTTGAGATTCATTCTTGGGGAGAGTAAATTATGTTATTTGAGGTATTGGCGATATTCCACAATCAGAAAAAAAGTTTTCACTCAGTTTTGTGAATGAAATAAAAATTAGTTCAGAGTTATATTCACAGTAAAGAAAATACAAGAATTAGAAACAAATACATATAGAACACATTCACTATAAAAACCACACCAAATTACTCTTATAACACTTGCAAAACAGTTCAAATTCACTCACAGTTTCCGATCTGAGAAACCGGAAGTGTCTTAGTTCAACTAATGACCAATCGTAAACATTGACGAGTTTATCTTCCGAGAACTTCACTCGAAGGAACTTAGGACCCTCGTGTTTGTAAAGGTATCGCGCAGCTCTTCTAGCGTGTTCCACTCGTTTGCTGACTCGGACGATCAGCGTACCGATCAATCGAAGGTAGGTTACCATATGTCTTAGCAGTTTTCCTCCTTCCCCTTTTTGTGGTGTTCGCACGAGAAGTGTAATGTTACGATCTGCCGTAAACAGCTGCTCTCCCAAACGTTGACTGCTAACAACAAGACACAGACACACAAAAAACACTCCAATTTCTAAAATTTGCCGATATGTCATCATCACTGTCACACATTGTTTGTGTTCCTAGGGTGTAATACTTTGATCGTTTGATAAGACTGGACTTAATTTATAATATTATTTGTCTCACAATAATGTTTGGACGTAAACGTCTGGTTTATGTTAATGAGCACAGGTAATCCTCTATTAACTAGTGGATACAATCTAATTTTAAGTTTTATAAGATATTAAATGACTTATTTGGTAAATATACTTAAATAGAGAGACTTAAACTTAGTGCTCTTGAAACCTCTGCTACATTTAATGGGGGTTCAATATATTGTATTTTGATGATAAAACTTTCCAACTAAATTACATTAGATCTTAATTATGAGTGTTTACAGACTGACTTTAAACACTTTGTTAGTAACTTTTCTTCACATAGTTTATGGGAGATTCCCTATCGCAATTGATGAGAAGGAAGGCGATTTAGTCCCTAAAAAAGATGTAACCAGTTTATGTGATACAATGAGATCTCTTGAAAAGACTCTAACGCAACTGAGCAAAGATCCACCGATGAAAGGCGGAGAGGAACTGATGAAACAGTTGCGGACTTACAATCAAGCTTGTTTTCATCTGTTGGAGCTTTGTAAAAATGATGCAAATGAAAAGTCAAAGGCTTTCAAAGTGGGAAATGATTTGTTTGAACGAGGTGGTCCTGAGTTTGTGGATGAAGCAGTGAACGAACAAGTCATAATGCAAAAGTTCGAGTGGGACAAGACAACTTTGGAAGAAATGCTGCACGCTAGGAAAAAGACGAATGCTCTATGGTTTGATCTTTGGAGGTTATATAACAATGTTGACATTAGTGGTTGACAAATGTCATCTTTCCTTGTTGTGATTTATTTGTAGGGTAGCCATGTGGCTGAAATGGCTGATTATGAAACTTTTGTGGAAAGGGTTACTCTAGAAAATTGTAATTTCTATTGTACCCCTTTTTTCTGTGTATACCTTGCCTTCAGCATTTTCAATGTTTATTGTAAGGAAACAGTCAAAATCCTGACATTTATTGCCAATACAGGCTCATATAACGTGTTTAGTTGATTTATTTTAATTGTCCCTTTCAGGATAATCTATAAAGAAAACAATTTCCAACATACTGAAGTAGCATTTTGTCTCTGAGTAATACTTTCATGTCAAAGAATAATTTACATGAGAGGTGTGTAGACAACTCTCCAATCTCTCAAAGTATGTTGTACAAAACCTTACAACATAGAATTTTGGCTGGTAAAAAAGTTACCTGTGCATAAACTTATGAGGGATAAAACCCCCCTACTTGATCCAATCAATTTTGAGCAGCATTCTTCATTCTGGACTCATCCTTCGCTTATTTATTGGTTAAAATATGCACCTGGGTGGTGTCTCCAGCTCAACTGGTAATAATAATAATTCAAGAGCATAACTGTGACAACAAAACTGTGATTAAATGTTCATAAAAATAATAAATATTTAATGCCAATTCGTTGTCTGAAGGTATTCTTAGAATTTCGTTGATCAGAAAATGAAATGCTTATCCCTGCACAAATAATAGCAATTACTGTTGAAAACAGCATCCTTTAATTTTTATTTTGGTGTTCATGAAATAGGGCTGCTGATATGTTAAAGTAGTAAATTAAACACAACTCAGTTGAGTTTAATTTACTTCATTGATCATCCATTAAATATTCCTCTGCCTAGATATAAAATGTGGTATATTACAATGATAAACAATGTACTTATCCATAGAATGTTTGAAACTGTAAGTCAGAACTTTGTTTGTATTCAGAATTTATCAAGAGATCTGTTTGGATTGTTTACCTTAAATACCACCAAACTTTGAGGAAACAGCGAAAGTAGATAAAAAAAATTCCCAGAATTTTTCAAGCAGGATAAAGAAGATGGAAACCGTTATATCTCATCTATATTAAAATCATCCGGAATATCTATATTCGACCACACATTCTGAACATCATCGAGATCTTCCAACACGTCCAACAGTTTCAGCACTTTAGTAGTTTTCTCATGGTCCAAAGTCAAAGTGCTATTAGGTTTCCAGATCAACTTTGCACTGCTCGCTTCACCCAAATTCTTCTCTAGAAACTCTCTGACCGTATGAAAGTTCTCCATGTTGCACAATATTTCATGTTCATCTTCTACAAGCTGACAATCCTCTGCACCCGCTTCGATCGCAAGATCCATCATTTCATCTGCACTTTTAGTTTCTTTCGGGTATGTTATAAGTCCCATGTTTTTGAACATGAAACTCACTGAGCCGTTTTCTCCCAGGGCTCCGCCGTACTTGGTGAATGTCGAGCGGATTGCTTGGACTGTTCGGTTCTTGTTGTTCGTGAGAGTCTCAACAATGACTGCAACGCCGGAAGCAGCGTAACCTTCGTACTTCACTTCCTTGTAAAGACTAGTGTCAGTTGGGGAAGAGGCCTTCTTTATCGCTTCGTCTATTCTGACTTTTGGCAAGTTGGCTTCTTTTCCGGACAAGATCGCAAGTCGTAATCTCGGGTTGAATTTTGGGTCGATTCCGCCTCGAGCTGCTGCAACTGTTATCTCACGGATTATTTTGGAAAACATTTTACTTCTTTTTATATCCAAAAGTGCTTTTTTTCTTTTTATTTTAGAAAACTTGTTGTGACCTGCCATTTGATTTCACCTGCTTTACTGAAGTAGATACAGCAAAAACTACTAAAAATTATAAATATGATTACTTATGAGCACACATTGTTTTTAATTTATTGGTTTTAGAAAAAGTTAATTGTATAAAGTTTGTTTGAGCTCGCTGATATCATCTTAATAGCTTCTGTGTTTTATCTCCATCAGTTTTTAATGTTTACAAGCAAGACCAATTACTTAATTTTAACCCATATGTGTGCAAAGTTATGAAACACAGACAAATACTTATTTTAATATGAATAAACATAAGAGATATTATTTAGACATTTTCATAAGAGATAAACCTTTATTCCCAAATTCTTTAAACAGTAGATCTTGGTAAAAAAATATCCAATTATTCAGTCCTAAATATTAATACAAAATTACAATTTAATTTTTTCCTAAAATAGTTATAAATTTAAATTCTTGTTCATAATAACAGGTTTTTAAAAATTTTGAAAAAAAAAATAGTAGTTATACCAGGGATCTGCATTTACAAATGCATCCAATGAATTAAATTTTGTACTTTATCTTAGGTACACTTTTACACTCCTTAACAAGGAACTCAATAACAAGAAAAACTATACTGATGGAAAGAGTTAAATCCATAAAAAAAATCTTTCTCATATTTTTTACTTTTGTTTTTATATAAAAACACAGTTGTAATTATTTAAGAGAAATTTGATATAAATGGCAAACAAATGTAGATTGAGAAACAAACAAATGGGACAGAGACTTCATTCTATTTCCAATTTCACCTTTCAAAATTTGAATATAAAAATTGTTGGTTTCAAGTCAAGTAGCTTAAATATTTTATTTTAAAACATAAATGAGGTCTACTTCTTTGCAGGCCCAACTTTGTATATGGGTTGACTAAAATTTATAATTTTTATTAGTTTTCTAAAAAATACTGAATCACACAAATTTAAATTAATATTTTCACCTCCAAATAGTAAAAACTTTGATTGAAAAACTCTCTAAGGAAGGGTGCTAAAACTGTTGGCAGCTCAGGACACTGACAATTAAATTCAGCCTCAACTCGGGCCTGCTTCTTTGTGCTAAGGCAGATCAATTTTATCAGCAAATAATGGATTTACTAACCTAAATAAGATAACTTAGATAAGTGGGAACATAACCAAGCACGAATGGCTGTAAGAATAAATAGATAGTTCGTAAAATACATGTAAATCAAGGTAAACTGCTGTACAAATGCCAAAGGTCATACCAATGTTCCCGTGTGTGTTTCCTCACTATATGCATGTGATCCACCGCGTCTCCGTTCCACTTGAATCGTTCCTCTATCAACTCATCGTCCACATCCACCTCAAGGAACTTCGGCCCTCCTCTCTCCACCATGTCTTGTGCAGCCTTAAGCGCTTTGTGCTTATTTAACGAACACAAATACAACAAATCCAATGAAGCTTTGTTAAACGTGCGCGAAAGTCTCATAAACTCATTTCCCCCGTCGGTCGGCGGATCTTCATACATCTTGGTCAAAATGTCATCGAGTTTTCTCAATCTTTCACAAACTTTCTCTATGTTTTTTTCTAGATCTGTTATGTTTATGTCCAATCGGCCTGCCTCGAGGCCGTATTTTGGGAGTCCTTCGAGCTCCTCGGTTTCTATCGAGGTACTAACAGAATCGTAGGAGTTGACAAAGAAGACTAAAACTGTCCATTTGCATATTGTCAGGCTTGACATTCTGATGGGAAAGAAAGCGTTTAGTTTAGTCCAAATCACATTCTGTCGCTAGTAGTGTTTACATCGAGAATCACATCATTAGATCCAAATCTACTTTATAAAGGTCAACGGTGTTACATGTGGGTTCTGCGGATGTGCTAATAGTTGTGTTCATTGCTAATTGATTTAACTTTGGGTAAACACAGTAGGTGAAGTAACGTTCAAGTAACTTTCAGAAATGTAATTGGGTAATACTAAACAAATTTACTCCTTAAAATAAAAAAAAAAACATTGATGTAAGTGCAATAATGTTCAACATAATGTATTCTTTAAAAAACTGTATTTTTTATGTATTTAACTAGAAGTATTTCATTTGCATGCCTCTTACTCAAGGCCAGGCAATGTGTTTTATTTTTTGTTTTTTTTTTATTTTTAATGATATAATAGTAATCAATTGAAACATTTAGTAAATTGGATTAATCTTACTCCATTGCAATAATTTAAAATACTTTATGTTTGCCTGTTCATCCATTGCATGTCTTAGGAGTAGCAGGAATATAATATTAACATATATATAGTCTTTCTTCTATCCATATCACTAACCGAAAAAAAAATTTGCCATCCTCCACAAATTGGGTTAATCAAATTCAACTCCTCAATATAATCATATACTAATCTTCATTCCTGTTTAAAGCTCCTAACTGTGATGCCATTTAGAAAAAAAGTTATCAGGATTATCAATTTAAAATATAGATAAAAAATAAAAAAAGGTCACAACTCAATGATCAAGATTGAAATTTACTAGCTTAAAATCTGCCACAAAAACATGATTTCCAAATTAGACCAATATAGGTTTTTTAAATATTTTCATGCTGTACATTTGTATATGTTTGTCACGATTATTGGCTCTCAGGAAACAAACTTTCTTATAAGTACTAAGTTTTATAATACATACAAATTTGATTACAAAAACATTGCTCAAATTTAAAATGAATATGTACACTTTCAATATAAATAGTGTTAAATTGAAAATTTACCTTTAAAACTACTATATTAAGATTTTACTGATATAACACTGATATATAATTGGGCATAACGTAAGAACCTGCTTTAAACTGCCAAAAGAGCACAAGAAAAAATATAAAAGTCCTTACAACTTTTATCAAAACACTGTTTTTTTTTATTTAATTATTTACAAGAGCTGAAGTTAGCTTTTTCTGTCCAAGTAAATCTTGAGTTGTCTATATGGCAACCGGTTTCACGCCTATGTTGTCATTTTCAAACAGGAGGAAGCTTAGAAAGGATGCCATGGGCGTCAAAATCAGTCGCCATATAGACGACTCGAGTATTACTTGGCCTTTTGTACATAATTAGTTGTTAAGAAATCTGGAAGGCGATACAAAAAATGAATATTTTAAATTGTCAGTATAGTGTTGATCACTTTATAGAATTTATAGTTTTCCGACATATTAATTTATGGAACACATCATGCTATAATCAAGTATCAAAGAGCAAAAGGTGGAGGCAATCTAAGTCTTGGGCACTTTTATGGCTTGTTAGGACAAATTAATTTACAATGAAAAAATAGCATATAAACAAATCTTGATTTACTAAAAATCGTATACTTACTTATAATGGTTTCCAGGTCAAATTGAAAAATTATTTACAAACAAAAAATAAAAACTGAGTGATAAATAGCAAATGAGAGTTCAAAAGTTTATCTTGCTACTGTAAAAAATTCAAAATACCAAACCATACCTAAATCACATTCAACATCATGGAAAATTGTTATACAAAGACCACAGAGTTTTCCAATAGCCGTAAGTCTTCTTTGTTAAGTCTAAAAATTCACTAATATTGTCTTCGTCCCATTTAAAGTTCCTCTTCATTTCTGGTTTGTTTATTTCAACGTCTAGAAACTTGGGGCCTCCAGGTTCGAGCATGTCGCTAGCTGCATCTAACACTTTTAATTTATTTATTTTACAAAGAGACAAAAGATCGGAACATGCGTTGTTATATTTTTCAACCATCTCCTTCATTTGGTCTCCTCCGTCGATGGGTGGGTCATTACTGTTTTTGGCTAAGGTTGCGTCTAAAGTTGTTAAAGTTTCTATAGTTTTACTTATTTTCCTGTTTAACTCAGCTTCATCTACACTCCCTCCTTCATCTGCTTCATTTGAAACACTTAGCTTTTGCGTTTTATCTTTTTCGGAAGACTCACAACTGGCAAGGACACAAATGTTAAGGATAAACAGAGTGATCACTTGGGATGTAAATAATGAGCAGAAATTGGATATAGAAAACATTACAAAATATACTGTGCAAGTAAAACAAAAACAAACAATAAAAAACCAAAGTCGGACTTAATTATATGTTTTTATCTAAGTAATTAAGATTTAGGAAACGCCTAACTTTGTGTTTGATTGTTCAAAGTGATTAGCAAATTACTAATTAATTACAGAACTTCATTGTACAAATATTTCGTACGTACAGAATAAGAACACAACATCAATTGAAACTTGTTCATCAGTGATGATTTTTATGTGATTTTACTGATATGACTGAAATGTGCTTTTCGTAAAACTCTTCAATTCAATTCCGTGGGTGATCAACAATATTTAACAACAGTTATGTGATCTACAATTTTTTGTCCTAATATCTCTGCAGTGATAAAATGGTATCGGTTTTCAAACAAATCTTTATAGTGTACATATTACTGCACTTATGTCAGTCTAAAAAACTAAAGAAGAAAAAGTTCAAAGTGACCACTGAAATATTGGCGGATAGAATAGTCTCTTTGTGTGATAACATTTTAAAACTGACACTAGAATTGCCTCAGGGACAAGGTGCGAATTTGATGCAAGAATCGGAAACTCTTAACAGCTGTATACGGCAGTTCGTAAAACTCGTACATTCTGACGAATACCTTGACAAAGACATAGAGAAAGTGAAAGCACTCGGTCCACAACCAAAGTTCCTAGAAGTCGAGTTGAACGATGAAAAAATTAAAGAGGCAAAGAAAAGCTTCGGTTGGGATGATAAGGAAATTGAGGATTGGTTTTTTGTGAGACTTTGCACATATCAGCACTGGAACCATGTTCTAACCTACAACAACTACTACAAAGGACTGAAGTGATGTGTTGAGAATATAGTTGTAATTTTATTTTATTTTTAAACATTAATCAGCGTTGAAACTATACATTAAAACGTGTTCTTTTACAGTGTATTTTAGCATTGGTTGAGTGCAATTAATTGTTCAATATTACTGTCAGTAACTTGAAAGTTTTTATTTTTTTATTTTGTTGTATCTCCACACCAGGGGAACTTGAGTTAAGAAATCACAAACCCTTTTAAGAGCTTGCGGCCCACACCCATTAAATTTGTGTGAATAAGCCAGGAATCCAACCTGTTTCTCACACCAAAGTTTAAGATGCTAACCAC